AGCACACTGTGGGAGGCCCTGGAGATAGCCCAGTTGAAGCTGGTGGTGAAGGCGCTGCCCGGAGGCCTCGGTAACTACTCCTGGCTGAGCACAGGCTGGGTACTAAAGGACGCTTGTGAGGGCTGGGAAGGGACAACTCACACCCGTGTCTTAGCTTTGCTCAGAGTTTAGAGTCTGGGGTCTGGCAGGATCCCAGAGACCATTAAGTTCTACTTCTCACTATATAGGAGCTCAGAGATGTCAAGTGATTTGTCCCAGGTCACACAACTGGTCAGTCAGGATTTGGCCTCTCCTACAGGGCACAGGGCTACAGTAAGGAGACAGAGCTTGCAAGTCCCCAATACCATGACGGTATATTCAGCCCTGCCCTCCATATCCACCTGCCTGCCCCGTTCTGCCCTGAGGGAGGAGAGGACTGACTGGAAACCACAGGCACAGGTCACTCATCGAGGCTACTGGGAAGACTGTGTCCCCACCCCGGGGGTCAGCAGAACCTTGGTGTATCTGTTGAAACCCCTGGACCTGGGGGCTGGCCAAGCCTTGGCTTCAGAAAATCACCCCACCAAGGCCTATACACATGCAGGACGGACACACTCTGTGCTCATGCGCCTCCCAGAACTGCCCAGGGCCACAGCCGTGCATAACTCCACGGAGTGCTCTTCTCTTTGTAACTCTAGCAGATGGCATCCGTGTTGTGTAAGGTGCAGCCACCCTGTGCACACCTGTACTCATGACACACACCTACATATTTACCCCTGTACACACATTTCCTGAAACCCCAAGCCACTCGGTCCCCTAAACTCACAACACAGAATTAACGCAGCCCTGCGCCCCCTTCCTGGGGCTGTTTCCAGATGCCATCATCACGGAAGGCGGGGAAAACTTCAGCCAGGGCCAGAGGCAGCTGTTCTGCTTGGCCCGGGCCTTTGTGAGGAAGACCAGCATCTTCATCATGGACGAAGCCACGGCTTCCATCGACATGGCCACGGTCGGTGCTGGGCACACCCATGGGGTGGGAGTCTTGGAGAGGGTTTCGGGGGTGTTAGGGAGAAGGTTGCACAAAATAGTCCTGAAACTCAAGTTGCCTTTAACATCAATAGTCATGTGGAGCAGAAAAGGCGACAGGCTGGGGGACCCTGATTCCAGCTAGTCTTAAGGCTGGAATATAACACATATACGCACAAGCTGCACACGGACCCACAAATTTCACACCCATCCCCACAACCCAGCACACCCAGACACACTCACGGCTCACACACATGCACACAGCTGAGCTCCCAACAGGCGGAACCCAGCCCCTGAACACTGGGAACCTGGTTGGTCCTATGGGGACTAGAGCCAGAGGGAGGGGGTGGGGCTAGGGTTGGGGTCAGATGGGAGCTGGGCCAGAAGCCAGGCCAGACCCCACCCACTGGGCAGGTGAGCCAACAGTTGCTGCTCCGACCTGGCAGGAGAACATCCTCCAGAAGGTGGTGATGACGGCCTTCGCAGACCGCACTGTGGTCACCATAGCGGTAAGGGGCCCATGATGGGGTGCAGGGGGGACACCCAGAGAGACAGCTGGCCTCCTGAGGCTGTCATCAGTGGGCAGCCTCTGGGCTCACCTGCGCCTGGTAATCAAGAGAGGACCCTGTGGCAGTGCAGGGCAAGGAGTCTGGCAGACTTGCAGCGAGCCTGGATTGCAGGATTTGGGGTGTAGGAGGGTTTGTGCCTGCACTTCCCTCAGACCTCCCCTCTTTCTCCAGGTTCCAAGGTCCGCTCCTGTCCCAAGGCCCTGTGAGCTAGGATAGGGTTACTTCTCCAGAGCAAATGGGAGATGGGGGCGTTGGGAGAATCTCTGAGTCTTGAAGCCTGGAGGTGGGGCAGAGCTGAGACCTGGTGAGGGAGAGGGTGGCATTAGCAGATGGAGGGTTTGGAGTTACAGCCACCCCGGGAAAGGGCAGTCACCGCAGAGATAAGACATTCTGGCCACATGCCCCCTCCTCCAAGCTGCAGGAGGGATGCCTCAGCTGCCCCCGCCCCCCCCCCCACACACCCTGACAGCCCCTCCTGCCCCGCCCAGCACCGCGTGCACACCATCCTGAGTGCAGACCTGGTGATCGTCCTGAAGCGCGGCGCCATCCTTGAGTTCGACAAGCCAGAGAAGCTGCTCAGCCAGAAGGACAGCGTCTTCGCCTCTTTTGTCCGTGCAGACAAGTGACCTACCAGAGCCCAAGTGCCATCCCATGCCCCACCCTGCCCCCACCTCCCGCCTGGGTTCTCTAACTGTAAAATCACTTGTAAATAAAGAGACTGGTTATTTCCTACCTGAGGCCGTGGGTCTGGTGGGCAGGGACTGGGGTGGACCGTGGGTCCCGTGGAAGCAGTCTGACTTTAGCATCAGGCAGACCTGACGAAGCTCTGTGAGTGTGGGCAAAAGCATGTTTCCTCACCTGTGACATGAGGGCTGTCTTAGTCTGCTAGGTCGTATTCGTCTGCTGCAACAAAATACCATAGCCTGGGTGGCTTAAACAGCAGAAATTTATTGCTGACAGTGCTGAAGGCTGGAAGTCCAAGATCAAAGTGTCGCGGGCTTGGTTTCTCCTGAGGTCTCTCTCCTCGGTTCCAGACAGCCATCTTCTAGCTGCGTCCTCATGCAGCCTTTCCTCTGTGTGCACACCCCTTTTATCTCTCTCCTCTCCTTATTAGGATACTAGACATATTGGATGAGGCTGCACTCCTATGACCTCATTTAAACTAAATTACCTCTTCACTGGCCCTATCACATTGCAGGGGCTCCAATATATGAATTTGGGGGGGAATGCAATTCAGTCCATAACAGAGTTATAGTATTTTTGTGATTATCTCATCAGATAAGGTAGCAGATCTGCATATATCTTGGTCCCTTTTCCTTCTCAGTTTAATTCTTGGATTAAAACTGTGGGTCCCCAGGTACCCCGGATTAGCATTATTTACATTGCAAATGACAGGAACCCAACTCAAAGTGGCTTAAACAGTGGAATTTATTATCCTATGTGATTGAGAAGACCAGGAGGTTACTACTTGAAGCACGGCTAGATCCAGGTGTTTGACATCAGGGGTGACGAATTCCATCTTCCTCTCCCTCCCCCATGACAGATGGCCACTAGCACCTCCAGCTTACATCCTACCCCTCTGCAAAAGAGAGGGGCCTGAATCACATGTCCCCATCTCCATCCCACACATAGGGACATTCAGAAGTGGGAGAAGGGCGGCCCTTCAGAGAGAAAGCACAGTACATATGCCACAAGTCGGCCAGGTAGTGACTGGGACATACTGGGGCCCAGACACTGGGGAGACTAAAAAACAGCTGTCCTCAGACTCCACGTGCATCATGAGACATGAGTGTATACCTGTCCCACCAAGAAAGGAAGGTGCTTGTTTGCGTATCATTTTATTATCATTTACACGTTGCCTTCAGTACCGGCTGTACCAGGCCCTTGGGGTGCAGACCCAGGAGTCTTGGGCCTTCATCCTTGTTGTATGCAAGGGGGTCAGAGTCATACGGTGCAAAGAAAATCCACCAGTCATTGGAGAGGGGTCCAGCACAGACCCTTCTGGCTGTTCCAGGAGCCAGAGGAGCTCAGGAAAGGAGAGCTCTGTGAGGCCTGGCAGGCTCCTGGGAGAGGCAGGATTTAAGTTGGGCATGGGAAGGGTGAGAATTAGATAAGCAGAGAGCCTTGAATGCCAGGACAAGGAGTCTGGGACATGCCTATGCACAAAAGGGAAGTGGAGAAGGTTTCTGAATGCGAAAGGGACCTGACAAGTGCAGTGTTTGGGGGAGATGAGTATGAGGAGGTGCAGGACGGAGCAGAGCAGGAGGCTGAGCCCTTTTGGTGGGGGGCTCGCCTTCCTGGCAAGCGAGGCCTCAGGGTCACGCTGTGAGGCAAGTCCTAGCCTTTCCAGCTCTGAGATGCCTCTGGGGGCCCGGCACTCCCTCCACCGTTGGGCCTCCCAGGAGCAGAGCCTAAGGAGGGAAAAGAGGATTCCCACCCCCATGCCTACGACCAGCCAAGGGATTAAAGGGAAGTAGCAAGGGCACAGGGGCACGTCACAGCTCACACTGAAGTCTTGCAGAGATGCCTCAGGCCATTCTAGCCCAAATTCCTCTATAGCACCCCTGATGGTGTGCCAGCCTCGACTTGGATACCCCATAGATGAGGGTCATCTCTGGTAATTAGAAATGACTCTTCCATACGTGAAATCAAAGCCTGCCTCTGTTCCACTCAGTGTCTATACTGGTTTATACTTTGGACCACACAAAATAGTCCATCCTCCTTGGACCTCAGGGGTTTCTGCGATAGTATCTGAACTCCCTGGGAAGACTCTCCAAGGTTCCTTTTCTGATGGCTGAGCAGCCGTAGTTGCCCCAGAGTTTTCCTGTGTAACTCTGTCTCCTTGAGCTGCCCTCTCTGCTCACCCTATTTTCCTTTCCCCACCCTAAGCACTGCATCTCTGGCAGTACAGCCCAAGATCTACCATGAGTAGTAGAGGGGGCCCAAGCCACAGGACAATACTAGGTTGATGCCTGCAGTAGAAACACCACTCCTCTTCAGGCCAAGAGCTTAGGACCCCCAGTGACCAAGCTAGCCCTGACACAGCTCCTCAGGCTGCAGGTATAAGGAGGTGTAAAGCAAGTGCCAGTAGCTCAAACCCCCTTTAAAATGCAGGGGTGGGGCTTCCCTGGTGGCGCAGTGGTTAAGAATCCGCCCGCCAAAGCAGGGGACACGGGTTGGAGCCCTGGTCTGGGAAGATCCCACATGCCGCGGAGCAACTAAGCCTGTGCACCACAACTACTGAGCCTGTACTCTAGAGCCTGCGAGCCACAACTACTGAACCCGTGTGCCACAACTACTGAAGCCCAAGTGCCTAGAGCCCATGCTCCACGGGCCACCACAATGAGAAGCCTGCGCACCTCAACGAAGAGGAGCCCCCATTCACTGCAACTAGAGAAAGCCCACGAACAGCAACGAGACCCAACACAGCCAAAAATAAACAAATATATTTTAAAATTTTTTTAATAAATAAATAATAAAATAAGATATAATAAAATGCAGGGGTGGGATTGAAAGTGTGGGTCATGATTGAGAAGATGCAACCACCCAGGCTTCTGGGCTGCAGCATCCAGCATCCCCTGTAGTGGGTGTTAAACTATGTTTCTACACCTACTAAGGTACATCTCCACGCCCCACCCCCAGGAAGTCCGTGGCTTTCATCAGGCCCTCAAAGGATTCGTGACTCTGAAAATACTAAAATCATCGCCATAGAAAAGAAGCGGTCAGTTAGGATTCCTCGGGCCACCTAATCTCCCCGCCCCAACCCCAGTCACCAGGTTGGTGACACAGCTCCTCGGTACCTCCTTTTGCTGGGAACCCACAAAGCCCAGGCGGATACTGACCCAACCCAGGATGGGAAAATTGCGGTGGGACCAGGGAGACAGGGCATCGGTCCCCAGAATGGGAGGGCGGGTCACGACTCCCTTCACCCCGCCCCCGTCCCGCCCTGCCCCGCCCCGCCCTAATTTCGTAGCGTGTGGGCTGGGAGGAACCTCTTTAGTCCATCTGATTGGGCAAACTCCCAAGGCCAGACGAAGCGAGCCGGGAGAAGGAAGACGGTGGGAGGTGAATGGCGAGGGGCGGGGCTTGAGCTTGTGCCCGCCAGCCCTCCAGCCCAGGAATAGGTCGGGCTCCCCCTGGCGGCCCCCGGCCCCCGCTCCACGCCTCCGGCGTTCGGTGTCCTCAATTCTCCACCCCACCTAGCACAGGTCGGCCTCCGCGGGCCGATTGACACACAGAAGGACCGGAGGACGGCCCTCCGCGAGCGCCCGGGCAGCAGGAGGGGGCGGGGAGGCGAGGACTGCGGCTTGATGAGCAGGAGCAGGTGCCGCGGCGAGGAGCGCGGGGTGGGGGCAGGGACGGAGCGGCGGGCGGGGTCGCTGCGCCGGCGTGCGTGCTGCCGGCGCGGAGCCGGGAGGCCGCGGCTTAGAGTGGGCCCCGCCAGCCAGGTCGCGCTGGGGGCGAGGGGATCAGGAGTGGAGCTGGGTGGAGTGGTGACTCTGGAGGGCGGAGGATCCCAAGGAGACAGAGAGGACGAGAGCTAGAGGGAGATCGGAGAGCGGCGAGAGCGCTACGGAGGGTGGGTTAGGAAAGAGGTACCTGGAGGTGAGACGGTATGAAACTGGAGCTTGGAGGGGAGCCCGGGGCCGAAATGGGTGAGGCGGGAAACACGGTGCGGGTTGTATGGGGTGTGGTCGGTTGGTAAGATCCGGAGGTGTGACGTTCCCAGGTGGGAGAGGTGGGTTGAGAAAGAAGGCTGAGTGGGGAGAAGGGTCCTAGGGAGACGCCCAGGGGTGGTCAGCGAGTGGAGGAGAGCTGAGCTGGGATCCAGAGCCAGGTGGGGAACAGGCAGAGTAGGGGGTTCAGTAGGCAGTGGGCAGGTGGGCTGAGGTGTGAGGCTGGTATAAAGTGAAGGAGGGGCCAGGTGGAGCTGAGGATGAGTCTAGCTGGGGAGGCATCTCAGAAGTGAGGCCGGTGCAGACTTAGGGTGGTCCCAGGGCAGAAACCCCAAAGTAGGTTGAAGCCTCAGTCAGGTGGTTGCTCCTCCCCCATGGGGGAGACCTCTCCCTGGTGGTCGCTGGAGCCATGCTGTCCCGCAAAGGCATCATCCCTGAGGAGTATGTGCTGACGCGGCTAGCAGAGGACCCGACAGAGCCCCGGTACCGTGCCCGTGAGCGGAGAGCCCGTTTCGTGTCCAAGAATGGCAACTGCAACGTGGCCCACAAGAACATCCGGGAGCAAGGTCGCTTCCTGCAGGACGTGTTCACCACGCTGGTGGACCTCAAGTGGCCATACACGCTGCTCATCTTCACCATGTCCTTCCTGTGCAGCTGGCTGCTCTTTGCCATGGTCTGGTGGCTCATCGCCTTCGCCCACGGTGACCTGGCCCCTGGTGAGGGTGCTGCTGTGCCCTGCGTCACCAGCATCCACTCCTTTTCATCTGCCTTCCTTTTCTCCATTGAGGTGCAGGTGACCATCGGTTTCGGCGGGCGCATGGTGACCGAGGAGTGCCCTCTGGCCATCCTGATCCTCATTGTGCAGAACATCGTGGGGCTCATGATCAATGCCATCATGCTGGGCTGCATCTTCATGAAGACGGCCCAGGCCCACCGGCGGGCTGAGACCCTCATCTTCAGCAAGCATGCGGTCATCGCCCTGCGCCACAGCCGCCTCTGCTTCATGCTGCGCGTAGGCGACCTCCGCAAGAGCATGATCATCAGCGCCACCATCCACATGCAGGTGGTGCGCAAGACCACCAGCCCTGAGGGCGAGGTGGTACCCCTCCACCAGGTGGACATCCCCATGGAGAATGGTGTGGGTGGCAATAACATCTTCCTGGTGGCTCCCCTCATCATCTACCACGTCATTGACGCCAACAGCCCGCTCTATGACCTGGCGCCCTGCGACCTGCACCACCATCAGGACCTTGAGATCATCGTCATCCTGGAAGGTGTGGTGGAAACCACGGGCATCACCACCCAGGCCCGCACCTCTTACCTGGCCGACGAGATCCTGTGGGGCCAGCGCTTTGTACCCATCGTGGCCGAGGAGGATGGCCGCTACTCTGTGGACTACTCCAAGTTTGGCAATACCATCAAAGTGCCCACGCCGCTCTGCACGGCCCGCCAGCTGGATGAGGACCCCAGCCTGCTGGATGTCCTGACCCTCGCCCGCGGGCCCCTGCGCAAGCGCAGCGTGGCCGTGGCCAAGGCCAAGGCCAAGTTCAGCATCTCTCCAGATTCCCTGTCCTGAGCCCTGCTCCCTTGGGCCCCCTTCCTCATGTGCGTGCAGGCCAGTGTGGCATGGTATGTAGACTGGACGTAGTGCGGGCCCCTCGGCCAGGCCAGGACCTGTTAAGAGGCTGGGCCCTCCTCATCTCAACCTCCCTGCCTGCTGCTCGCCCAGGGTGTTGCAAGGCACTTGTCGCTACTCTATTTCTGGCCTCAGCAGGAGCCTGTACCGGGTTATTTTTGTCCCTGCTCCTCCCGGCCCCAACTCAGGACTGGCTTTCCCCCCGACCCTGCCCCAGGCTAGGGGAGCTGTGGGAAGTGTCAGGCCCTAAAGCTGGGACTCCATCTAGTCCTCGGCCCCCACGACCGACCGGCTGCAAGCTGGATGGGTGGCTGGGGAAGAACAGTCCCCAGATGGGAGGCCTGCTGCTCTGTTTCTGTGGCCCTGAGAGATGCCTGTGCTGAGGCCCCAGCCCCTACTTGGTCCCTGAAAAGGTGATGGCCAAAAGGGTGGGCCTGGCCTGCTGGGGAGGGCAGGCAATGAGGGAACACAGTCTAGCTGGAGGGCTGGAGATGTGGAGCCTCCCTGGGGCGGGCTTGGCAGAGAGGAAATGGCACCGGGAGGCTTACCTTGCTGAGCCCTGCCCAGGCACGGGGAAGGGGAGACGGGCCCCTTACCCCTGACCCCAAGGCTTCTTCAGCGGGGGCTCCAGGGGCTGGGGCTGCTGCACCTGCCTACTTCCATTCTGTCCCCGGCCCTGGGAGGCTGGAGTGGGCTGGGGTGGACCCTGGCATGCCAAGCTGAAAGAGGCTGGGGAGAGACTGGGGTCCTGGGCCCACCACGCTTGGCAGGCCTCAGACTGTACCCTGGCCTGGCTCCCCCCCACCCAGTGGCTGCCACTCACTTTGTCCAGAGGGTGGCCATGGAGGGCCTTTGGGTTGCTAGAAAAGGAGATGTTGGAAAGCTCAGGATGGAGTGGGTGTGTGAGGTCCCTGAGGCACAAAGGCCCTTGGTCCTGACAGGCTTGACCCCCAAGCCGGACTCTTGGAGCAGTGCTGTGTGTACTTGCCCAGAATTCTGCCTTCTCCATTGTCAATAAAGCCTCCCCCTTCATGACCTAAACTCTGGGCTGTTCTTGCTGGTGGGCAGGGAGAGCAGGGGCTGGCAGCTGCCAGCCTACATCTCAGAGGCGCCATGGACCCCAGCTGGGAGGCCAGGAAAGGGACCTGGGGCTGGCCCTCTTCCCCTAGTTCAGAGACTTCCCCTTCCTGCCTTTGGTAGCCCAGCCCTACAAGACCGTCTGACCGTCTCCGTTGGGCACCCATCAGGCTTATAGCCCTGAGCCCTGCCTCCACTCCCAGGGGGCTGATGGAAGGCCGAGGGGCTCAGGAGAGAGGCGGGTATGTCACAGGCATTAGTGTGGCAATTGGAGCGTTAGCTCTCAAAACAGTTGCTTGAGTTCTAAGACCTTGGTCACATAACTTAACCTCTCTGTGCCTCAGTTGCCTCATCTATAAAGTGGGGATACTACAAGTACCTACCTCATAGAATTGTTGGAGTAAGTGAAAAGCGTTATGTCAAATGCTTGAGTGCCTCGTCCATAAGTGCTCAATAAATGTTAACTGTTGAGACTGCTATTCAATCAGCCACGTGGTGAGACAACTGAGCAAGCAAATGCTGAGAGAAGGTGCTATTATATGTCCCCTGGTGATGCGTTTCTCTGCCTGGTCTTACTTTCTACACAATGTCCCCTCCCAGCTCAGACCCCGATGACAGGGGCTGTGACTGCAACTGTTACCTGGGCTTCTTGTCTCCATCTCATCCTCTGCACACCATCTGCCATGTAGCCACCAGAGTGGTCTTATTAAAAGACATCATTCTCTCCAACGTCAAGTGCCTCCAGTAGTTCCTCATCACCTTCTGGTCAAGGCTAGACCTGTGACCAGTCATTTCAGGCTTTGCCTGCTTTCCAGCCTTACAGCTTACTGTTCTCTGGCCAGGACACTGTGCAACCACCCGTCCCGCTGGCAGCCTCAGCATCCCCTCCTTGTATTTATCTTCCTACATCTGAGCTTTTGCTTGTTTATTCCCTTTGCCTGGAATGCCCAGGCCTCATCTCTACCTGTTGAAATCCATTAAGGTCCAAGCCAAATGATGCCTCCTTGAAGCCTCCCCTGATTCCTCTAGAAAGCGATGGTCCCTTCCCTTCCTCTGTGCTTGTGGGCATTCTACTTTTGCCTGTGTTTATGGGTCCGTCTCCCCATCCCCAAGTCCATGGCTCCTTGAGTTCAGGGACTGTGCCTGACTCAGCACTGTGACTGGCCCTGAGTAAGTGCTGAATGAATGAATGAATGGTGGATAATGTACAGGACAAGCCAAGGTCAATGCTGCAGTTTGAGGCCTGCAGAGGGCTTTGGCTGGATCAGTGAGAGTTTGTCCCAGGCTACTCCAGAGGCAGGCCTGAATGGCCAGGAAGCTGCTGGTCGAAGCTCTAAGATGCCCCCTCTCTGCACCCACAGACCCCCCAACATTGATTCTTTGCTGAGCTGACCTGTTTCTGGCTTAGAGGAAGAAGGGATGAGAAGCTCCTCAGAGCTGGCCCAGAGTTCTGGGGACAGTGCCTGGCTCTTGGGACTCAGCTTGACCGTCCTTAAGACCAGAGCAGGAGACCAGACTCACTAATGAGAAGCCCCTGGGCAGCACCTTCTCTGGGGACCATCCAGAGTAACCTTCCTCCACTCCCTCATGCACCTTAAACAGCTGGTGACAGTGAACCGGCAGAACTGAGGGCTCAGCGCCACCTGCTGACCACAGACAAGACCTACTTGATCCCCAAAACTCAGAACCACTGGTCGAGGCTTTCCGCTCTGAGACCCCTAGCCTTTAGGCTTAGCTCAGGGAGGAGCTGGAAAGTTCCAGGCATGGAGGGACAGCTGGACCAGACCTTCCTTGACACCCTCCACCGGATGTTCTTGTCCACTGACAGTGCTCCCACCATTTGGGGGCACCCCCTTTTTAAGGCACTTGTCTAAACTAGACAAGGGAGCTCCCCTGAGCTCCACTCAGCCCAGCAGGAACTTTTGTGAGAATTTTGTTTCTGATATTCCGCCTCGAGGACAGCACTGGGTGTCACGTGAGAGCAGATGTAGCAGTCCAAGCTCGTCCACACCCTGTGTGCAGAAATGGCTCTCCAGATCCCAAGGATGTATCTCAGGTCACTGTGGTCCAGTGCTGACAGAGGCACTGTTCTCTGGGTTTGCAGATGAGGAGTCGGGATCAGACATGCTGTTAACTTGCTAACATCTCACAGCTAGTAAGTGGCAGGCCCAAGATTTGAACCCGAGTCTGTCTCAAACCACAGCCCTGCTCCCTTCCCCTGCTGCACAGTCCCAATCTCCTGAGCGCCACCTTCCTCTAGGGGTGCCACCTTGATCTCAAGCGTCGTGTCTCTAGACCAAGAACAGGAAGGGAAAGCACAACTCAGGAAGGTCCCAGATTTGAGACTGATACAGACTCAGCTATGATAAGTGACAGCCTAGATCACGTCCAAAACACCAAGGGAGCCAGAGGGACTGTTAACTGAGTCCAAGCTTGTACTGCTCGCCACATGCCAGGCCAATAAATCAAAAGACGAGTTGTTGGGGCAAAGAACAGCGACTTTATTCATAAAGCCAGCAGACGGAGAAGGTGGTGGCTCGTGCCCCTAAGAACCATCTTGCCTGAGTTAGAAATTCAGGCTTCTTTTATACTAAAAGGGGAGGGGGTAAAGTCAAACATGTCCTGGTTCCTGTCAGCTTCCAGAGGGTATGTGTTAATTTCTTCCTTCCTGCAGTCATTCACAGGTGGGCCTGGTCAGGATGTTTCCTTTGAGCTAAACAAAGGTATTTTAGCTTAATACTCATTAGTGGGAGGCAGGGTTCCCAGGGACGGGCCATTATGTATAATTTAAGCTTATAGGCAACATCCCTTTAGTGATTAACTTGTAATAGAATACAAAGTTTCTTCCCTATTACAGGACCTCACCAACACTTTCTCCCACCCATGTGTATGATGAACCCTCCATCTTCCGCCTTCTTGCAAATGGACTGGGGTCCCTACCTTCCAGGCTACCTTTCCCACAGCCAGTCAGGTGGCAATGCAGACTAATGGGGCACATCTGCCACTCCTGTCTGTCCCCAACTCACACCAGGTGTTGTGACATGTGTCCTGGGCCTCAGTCCTGAGTTCAAGAGAGGAGGGAAGCCAAGCCACCCTCTTCCAGTAGTGGAACTGAATTGCCAGTCTGGGAAAACTAGCCCCCTACCCATACTGGAAACCTGCTCAGGCCTAATGCCTCTGGATTTGGCATATCCAGCCAGTCACTGCATGGCCCACATGTGGCCCACTAAGGTGGACCTCCAGCCTTTCTGCTGGGGAGGACTCACCCAGCTTCTATAGAACCCATTCTCCTCAGGTAGCATCCTCTCAGCTCTGTCCTGCTCTTGAGTTCCTCTCCAACATCTTCTTTTAGGGAGAACTTTCCTAGGGAGCTTGCTGCAGGGAGTAGCCCTGGCTCCCCACACATCTCTGGGCTCACCTTTGAGGTCTCCCCAGGTCCAGTGTCAGACACCCTATTGTACCAAGACATGCAGAAGACTTGGGGGAAGAAGACATGAATGCTGCTGACCCTAGACTGGGGCAGGCCTGAAGAACAACAGATCTGTTCCAACTTGAAAGGAATTGCGGAAAGGCCGAACAATGGGATTAAGGTCAGAACTGAGTTCCAGAGAGTGGGTTTGTTGCATTAGAATCTAGATTACTGGCATCCTCTATGCCAGGACCACCTGACTGGGGCATTGTACATCTCCATCTACCTACACCCTACTCTATTTCCACTCTGGGCTGGCCCAACTCTGGAGTGATGTGAAAGGCAGGCCACCTAGACTGGCCAACTTGGGTACAGGAGTGTGAACTTCTCTCTGTCCCCCATACTTAGGTCCTTCCAGGCACTGATGCCAATGAGTAAAGCAGTGATACACTACACAATTTATTACGCAGCCCTGCCTCTGTGTACTCTTCACTTGATCAACTCCAGTTTTCCCTATAATGCCATTATTATTGGGGAAGGGAAGATACTCCAGCGTAAACCAGACAGAAGTAAATAACCACAGTTCTGACTGAAACTTTGACATAGGTCTTATACCTGTGAAGGGAGGAAGAAAGGACGATTGGCTAGCAAGAGCGTCAGATGACAGTGCAACTCCAAGAAAATCTCAGCCATCCCAACAGGGAGCTCCAAAGATTCCTGCCTTGATCGGCCATTGGCTGGCCAGGAGAGCATGGCATAAGCTCAAAAGCTACAGCAGATCCCTGAGATACCATAGCTGGAACATGGTGGCTAAGTACACTCTTCATAGCAGGCTCTGTCTTGGAGGGGCTCTCAGCAGCACATCTCCACGGCAACCACACTTTTGGGTCAAAATTCAACTTCCTGGGGAGCTGTATCAGTTAGCTTTTGCTATGTAACAAACCACCCTAAAACACAGTGGCTTTGAAAAAATAAGTATTTCTCAAAAAAAGAAAGCAAGAAAAACAAAGCGTCTTCCCTGGCGCTCCAGTGGTTAAGACTCCATGCTTCCACTGTAGGGGACACGGGTTCGATCCCTGGCCGGGAATATTAAGATCCCACATGCTGTGACACAGCCCATCCACCAAAAAGAAAAAGAAAAAGAAAAAGAAAAAATAAGTATTTCTCATGCATTTGCGAGTTGGTTCTGTTGATGCTGATGATCTCAGCTAGATTTGCTTACATGTCCGGTGGCTGTCATCTGATCCAGACTGGCCTCCACTAGAGCAACTAGCTCCAGCTTCCAGGGTCTCTCATCCTCTAGCAGGCTCTGATTCCGGTGTCTCTCACCCTCCAGCAGGCTCTATGAATCAGTTGGTCAGCTTTAGACAAACAGCCTTTTTTCTTGATTAATCGATTTTTCTGCTTTTCCTAAAGCATTTATAATGAGATATATTAGCTATTGCACAGATTCTGCCTTGGCAGGCTCATAAATAACTGGAGGCAATTTTATTACCTAGAACCATTTAACCAACACATTTACACTGGTCTTAACAACAGCCTGAGTTATTTTATTTGCTATGTGGGCCAGAGGGATAAACATGTTTGGAAACATGTTTTAGTTTGGAAACACCCTCACTAGGGTTAGAAGTTCTTGGTTAAACCAGTAAAATCTGGGTGGTAAGTTATCTCATTGAGCTATTAACAAAATATGAGCAACCGGGGGAAGGAATTCCCCTCTCTGAGCTGTGGATTCTATATGTGAGAACACTAGTGCAGTCCACATCATTCACAGGACTGGTGTGAACAATGAGGTCAGGTTCGATTTACAGTGAGACTTTATTATGAGAAGGCAGAGGGGCTTTACAATGCATCTCCTCAGAGTCCCAGGCCACCACATGGAGACCAAATGAGACAGTTCCTCCCCAACACATCAGAAAAAGCTACACACCATAAACACACTTAGAATATCCCAGCATCAACCCTGAGAACTCCCCAACACCATGCATTGGCCACGAATTCTGAATTCCCAGAGTCTACTCCAAAACATAAGTCTAAACTTTGCTTTGCAGCCTCTTATCTTTTCCAAAGAAAAAAACATAAAAATAAAATTAATACGATCAGTCCAGCAGAGATTAATCCAATACACAACGAAACAATCCACGAGTCAGTTTTCTTCTCAGATTCTGCAGAGAGAAAGAAGAGGAGAACATTAAGAGGAAACCTACTGGCAGGGGCCAAAGAAGACCACACGACTGCTTCTAGGATCTGTGTGGCTGTGTATCATCTTCCCTGTCAGAGATAGAACCACCAACCTTCTGCCACACGTCTTTGCATCCTCCATCCTATCACTTAACACCTTCACACATCAAACAGCCTGCTTAGCACTTGCCAGAAAAACACCGCAATATCAAACACCACATACAATATACACATACCATGCACACGTCCAAAGCTTCCATACTACTACACTACCCTGTATCACTTGTATACTGCTGTAGACTGAATGTCTATCTCCCCTCAAAATTCTTATGTTGAAATCCTAATGCCCAATACAATGGTATTAGGAGGTGGGGCTTTGGGGAGCTTTAGGTCATGAGGGTGGAGCCCTCATGAGTCAGATTAGTGCCTTATAAAGGAGGCCCTCGAGAGATCCCTCACCCCTTCCACCATGTGAGGACACCATGAGAGGTCTGAAACCTGGAAAAGGGCTCTCAGCCATAGTGGCGCACTAATCTCAGAATTCCAGCCTCCAGAACTGTGAAAAATAAAGTTCTGTTCTTTATAAGTGACCCAGTCTGTGGCAATTTGTTGTATTGGGTTGGCCAAAACGTGCCTTTGATTTTTAAGTAAAAATAAAAGACACATTTTTCATTTTCACCAAGAACTTATTGAACAACGTATTCACCCTTTTGTTCCACTGTCTTCTGTTTTTCAGGCAACTTCATAATTCCACCTTCCCAAAACTTTTAATCTTTTTGAGCAAAGAACTGTTGCAGGTGCCTTTTATAGTCTTCCAGGGAATTGAATTTTTTTTCCATTAAGAGAATTTTGTAAAGACCTAAATAAATGGAAATCCAAAGGTGCAATGTCTGGTGAATATGGCAGATGAATCAGAACTTCCCAGCCAAGCTGTAACAGTTTTTGCCAGGTCATCAAAGAAACACGTGGTGTTACATTATGGATGTAATGGAAGTAATGGATGTAATGGATGTAATGGATGTAATCTTCCTGATGGAAGATTATGTGTTTTCTGTTGACTAATCCTGGATGCTTTTCGTCAAGTACTGCTTTCAGTTGGTCTAATTGGGAGCAGTACATGTTGGAATTAATCGTTTGGTTTTCCGGAAGGAGCTCATAATAGAGGACTCCCTTCCAATCCCACCATATACACATCACCTTCTTTGGATGAAGACTGGCATTTCGTGTGGCTGGTGGTGGTTCAATTCGCTTGCCTACGATCTCTTCCGTTTCACGTTATTGTACAGTATCCAGTTTTCATCGCCCGTCACAATTTGTTTTAAAAACAGAACATTTTTGTTATGTTTAAGTAGAGAATCGCATGCAGAAATACGGTCAAGAAGGTTTTTTTTGCTTAACTTATGTGCAACCCAAACATCAAAGAGATGAACATAACCAAGCTGGTGCAAATGATTTTCAACGCTTGGTTTGGATATTTTGAGTATGTCGGCTATCTCCTGCGTGGTATAATGTTGATTGTTCTCAATTAATGTCTTGATTTGATCGCTATCAACTTCAACTGGTCTACCTGACCGTGGAGCATCGTCCAGCAAGAAATCTCCAGCACGAAACTTCGCAAACCACTTTCGACACGTTTGATCAGTCACAGCAACCTTCTCCATACACTGCACAAGTCTTTTTTGCATTTCGGTTGTGTTTTTACTTTTCTTGAAATAATAAAGCATAATATGCCAAAAATGTTGCTTTTTTTCTTCCATCTTCAATATTAAAATGGCTACACAAAAGTTCACCAATTTTGATGTCTTTTTTTAAATGCACACTGATATGACAGCTGTCACGTACAATCTAACAAAATTGTTTTGAATGACGTTAAAGACAACTAAGTGCTAGTAGAGCCATCTTATGGAAAAAAACGAATGAACCTTTTGGCCAACCCAATAGCAGCCCATACGGACTAAGACATACACATATCACCCAGACAAATGCCTTATACCATACACACAAAGCATATTTCAATTTCATATTCCCCATGCCCCACACGTATCCTAAACACATCCCTGCACACACCACCCACCCACACAATCCCTAGTCCTTACTTCCAGGAACAATTTCTCTCTCCCTTCAGGGCCATCCCAAGCCCCACCTGGCACACCCTGACCACATTTCCCAGGGCCACTGGTTAGCCTCTGCCTTCCTTACCTCCCTCACCTCTAGGCAGATGCATTGGACCAGCAGGACCAGAGCCATGACCCTGGAAGCCAGGTCATCACCACTCTCTACCTATTAGACCATCTGTCCCAGCTTAAGGACCTAATCTGGACTACTGACTCTGGGGCTGAGCTAAACCAGACCAAGCTTTCTCTCCTTCCCTATTGGCCCCCATATTCCCCTAGACTGTGTGGGAACCAAAGTTGATATTATATTCCCCTCAAGAGGAAGAGTTGGGGAAATGTCTAGGGGGCTGCTTACCTATCAGAATCGGGGTGAAGTTGAAACTCTGGCACATGAGTGAGGATACATGCCATACCACACACTGGTAGATGGTCACATTGTCTTCCAGAGAGGGCTTCAGCCTCAAGTCGCTGGTGATATTAAATGTACCATCCTCATTCTTCATGGTGGGGCCAGTGATAACGTCCTCAGAAATCTCCTGGAACTGGGGATCCTTCTGGGTCCACCTTTTCCATGTTATGTTAATATACTCTGGGTAGAATCCACTTGACTTACACAAAATATGTCTGTCTTCATTATCTTTCACCACGGCTCGCTCCAGAAACAAGCTACTGACTGGGTGAGCTGCCAGGGGAGAGAAATCATGCCTTGAGGGTGGGTAGGGACTTGCTTATTATTAGCCCAATGTCAGACCCATGGCAAGCCTTCAGGAAAGGTGAGTCAACTGAATGGTATTCTGCCTAGGCTAAATGATCTGGGTATGCTGGTTCCAGTGCTGGCAGGGTGCCGATATGCTGTGACCCCGAAACTCACAGCAATTTTATAAAGCAGAGTTTCTTAGGCCCCTCTGTGTCATAGACACGGTTGAGAATCTGAGGAAAGCCTTGGAACAGTGTTGTGGCAGAGACTGCTACTTGCTGCGAATCTCTATTCTTCAAAGACACCTCCAAGTTAAAGCTACTTCTCCCACCTTTCTCTGCAGCTGGGTGTAGGCATGTGAACTAAGGGTCTGGAAGTTTGGATGTATTCAGAAGTAGTGAGAGCAACTTCTAAGAAGTCTCCTGAAATAACAAGGGTATCTTAAAGAGAAGAACAGTGTCTCTCCCCCTCCACTTCTTCCTTCTTGCAGAATGGCTGCAATACCATGTCATGGCTGGAGATGGAGAAGACATTTCCAAGCACAAGGTGGAAATGCAGGTTGAGGATGGCAAAGTGATGACATAAAAGGATCCTGGGTCCTAGATGATCACAGAACTGCCACACATGCCCTGGGTTAGCTACAGTTTTGTGAAAGGAAAATAAACTACCTTCTTAAAAGCACTATTGACTTCTCGCTTCCCTCTGACATGTAAAGACCTAAAGTCATCACTTCTATCCTCATAACAGGAAAAAAAAGCTGAGCTGAACAAACTGTAAATCCACAGCTTTTCTTAGATCCTTCAGAGAATTGAGGTGACAGGGCAAACCACCACCCTGAAAAAAGACAGGCAGATTGAGAGAATCACAGCCGAGATCATAAAACCTTAAGCAGAAGGTACTGGAGTAATAAACTGGTCGACACACTTAAGCAGTAACTCTGACAAATTGCTAAAGGATAAGTGTGGACTAGATTGAGAATAAAAAACTCCTAAAGGCCCAGTTTTAGGGGGGGTCACAACACTTTCATGAGTTTTACCTCCCAGAATCCCACCACGCTCTCACTGTGAAGATCCAAGAAAAATTCCCTCCTATTTTGAGCAATGGGGAGAGGAAAAGTTAACTATTTAAAAATATACCCAGTGCATTCTCCATAATAAAGGATGCTCTCAAGGGAAAAGACTTTGCCAGAGTCTTGCCTGACCTGGGATAGTGATGATTAGCCAACTCCAGCCCCCTCTAGCCTTCCCGCCTCACCTAGAAACACTTCTGAAGGTGAGACAGCCTAGGGGCTCAGGCAACTCAAAAGAATGAGATTTAACCATACGAGTATAGACTGCTTCTCCTCCACAACACCTTACCACTACATCAACAGAGTTCCAGAATGGTAACAGATTACAACTGAGAGAGCTGTTAAACACAGGCTCTGTTTAAGGTGTTCATAGGGAAATTCAAACAAAACAAGGAAGGGGGAAAACTCTGGCACCTACAGGTACAGCATTAACACTAAACACAGCCTAACGCCTAGCCAAAGCAACATAGACTCTCACACCAAAAGCCTATTCACCTCAGTTCTTACTACCTGATACATAATATCTGGTTTTCAACAAAAAATTACAAGGCATGCTGAAAAGTATGAAAAGACAAAGCAAGCCTCAGAACAAGACTCTCGTATGACACAGATTTTAGAATTATCAGATAGAGAATTCTAAATAATGATTAAAATGTTAAGAGCACTAATGGAAAAAGCAGACAATATGCAAGAACAAATGGATAATGTAAATAGACAGATGGAAACTTTAAGAAAGAATCAAAAGGAAATGCTAGAAATCAAAAACATTATAAAAGAAATGAAAAATGCCTCTGATGGGCTCATCAGTAAACTTCACAGTGCCAAGGAAAGAATTAGCTAGCTTAAAAATGTCAATAGAAACTTCCCAAACTGAAATGCAAAGAGAAAAAAGAATGGGGAAAAAAACCAGAAGGGAACAGAATATCCAAGAACTGTGAGATGACAGCAAAAGGTAACATATGTAATAGGAATACCAGAAGAAGAAAAGAGAAAGGAGCAGAAGAAACATTTTGAAAAATAATGGCTGAGAATTTTCCAAAATTAATGACAGACACCAAAGCACAGATCCAGGAAGCTCAGACAACACCGAGCAGAAAAATACCAAAAAAAGAAAAAAAAAAATTTATACCTAGGTATACCATATTCAAAACGCAAAAAAACAAAGAGAAAATCTTGAAAGAAGCCAGAGGAAAAAAATAACTTACCTATAGAGGAACAATGATAAGGATGACATGGGACTTCTTAAATGCAAGAAAGAAGAGAGTGGAGTGAAATATTTAAAGTATTCGAAGAAAGAAAACCCCACCAATCTAGACTCCTATATCCAGAAGAATTACCCTTCAAAAATGAAGTATACTTTCTCAGACAAAAACTGAGGAAATCTGTCACCAGTAGACCTGCTTTGCTACATGTTAAAAGAAGTTCTTCAGAGAGATGGAGAATGATATAGGTCAGAAACTAGAATCTACAAAAAGAAAGGAAGAGTGTCAGAGAAGGAATAAATGAAGGCAAAATAAAACATTTATTTTTCTTATGCTTAACTGATCTAACAGATCATTGTGTTCATTCAAAATAATAATAGCAACAATGTACTGGGTGGTTATAGCATATGAAAAAGTTAAATGAATGACAGTAATGTTATAAGAGATGGGAGAGAAGAACTGGAAATACTCTGTTATTAAGGACCTGTACTACCCATGGAGCAATACAGTGTTATTTGAAAGCAGACTTAAATTAGTTGTAAATGTACACTGCAAACTCTAGGACAACGATTAAAATAAATTTTAAATAAGTATAATTGATATACAGAGAAAAGAGAGAAAATGGTATCGTATAAAATATTCAGTTAAAACCAGAGAAGGGGGGCTTCCCTGGTGGTGCAGTGGTTGAGAGTCTGCCTGCTGATGCAAGCGACACAGGTTCGTGCCCTGGTCCAGGAAGATCCCACATGCCGCGGAGCAGCTAGGCCTGTGAGCCATGGCCGCTGAGCCTGCGCGTCCAGAGCCTGTGCTCTGCAACGGGAGAGGCCACAACAGTAAGAGGCCCGCGTACTGCAAAAGAACAAAAAAAAAAACAAAACACAGAAGGCATAAAAAGAGGCAGAAAATTAAAAAAATTTAAAAAACAAAGGGCACCAAATAGAAAACAGATACAAACACAATACATATCAGTCCAACTATATACGCAATCACTTTAAATGAATGGTCTAACTACATCAACTAAAAGACAGAGACTGTCATAGTGGATAAAAAAAAGACTCAAACATGTGCTTTCTACAAGAAACCCACTTTAAATATGAGGACCCAAATAGATTAAAAGTAAAAGGATTGAGAAAGATATACCATACTAATACTAACCCAAAGAGAACTAACCCAAAGAGAACCAAAGAGAACTAATACTAACCCAAAAAGAACATTATTAATGAATAATCAATTCATCAATTATAACAAATATACCATAAATACAAGATGATACTAATGGGGCAAGTGGGGTGAGGAGGCAAGAGTAATACGGGAACTCGGTACTAACTTTCCAATTTCTCTGTAAATCTAAAACTCTTCTAAAAAATAAAGTGTATCTAATTTTGGGGGAAAAAAACCCTTTTATTTTAGGCTTTCTGTCAGTTGCAGAGGAAATGAATTCTAATATACATCCCCATTACCAAAATTAATATGTACAAAACATTCAAAGTCTTAAGTACAATTATGGAGGGCTCACAGACACTGCCCCTCAGTTACAGGCTGAATTGTATGCCCCCCCCCCCAAATTCATATGTTGAAGTCCTAATCCCTAGTGCTAGTCCCTCAGACTATGACTATATTTGAAGGTAGGGTTTTCATTGAGGTTGGTAAGTTAAATGAGATTATTAGGTTGAATCCTAATCTAATATGACTGATGTCTGTATAAGAAGAGGAGATTAGGATACACAAATACAGAGGGAAGAGGGGGTGAAGACACAGGGAGAAGACAAGCACCTACAAGCCAAGGAGAGAGGCCTCTGAAGAAACCAACCCTGCTGTCACCTTGATCTCATCTAGACTCCAGAATTGTGAGAAAATAAATTTCTGTTGTTTAAGCCACCCAGTCAGTGGTGTTTTGTTATGGCAGCCCCAAGCTCATCCACAGAGTATCTGACCTATTTATAATAGAAGAAAGTGGAGCTCAAAAACGTGTTTAGGGAAAAGTGTTGTTATAAATCTTGACTGAGCACCTACCTCACAACAGCACTGGCTGAGCATTTTCATACATGATCTTGTGTAATCCTCAGAACACTATGAGGCAGGTATGACTTACTGCCTCATTTTGCACATGGAAAATTCATTTGCACATGGGAAAATTCACGTGTAAAGATGTTAAATGGCTGACCCAATCACTCAGTTTGGAAGCAACAAAGTTAGATAGAATAGGATTCAGATCCATGGAACCAGAGTGCAATCTCTCTCCTTCCCCAGCTACCTTTCAGAGGTACCTCTTCAGTGAAGACTAACTGTCCACACACCAAGGAAATTATATAATTACTTTGACTATCTTTTACTGCGAACTTAAAATGGGCCAAACACTATTCTAAGCATCCTCCTTGCATTTTTCATAGCCTCTTCCCTACAATCAATCCTCTTAGAAAAGTACTATTACATTTGTTTAGAGGGAAGGGCATTGAGATTCAGTGTGATTAATAACTTGTCCAAAGTTGTCTAGAAGTCCATGGAAGCCCAGGACTCAAACCCACGTCTATGTGACTCCTAGGCCCATGCTCTGCTCCACTTGGCCCATCTACATCTCCACCCCAAGTCCCATCACCATGGGAATCACAGGGCACTGCCCTCAGGCACTCACCTACAACCTCCAGCCAGACTCTCCCCTGTGCTTTCTGAGGAGTGACCACCAACTCACATCGGTACTCTCCTGCTTCCCACAGTTGGACCCCAGGCAGCTGCAGTGAGGCATCCCCCCTCTTCAGCCTCCATGGAGACACGTTGGCTCCAGGTCGGAATGCTACTTTGTGGTCTCCAAAAAATTCAAACAGTTTGATCTCTATTTCAGACAATTGAGCCTTCCGAAACCAGGTGATACCCATACTGTTGATGTCCAGGTGTGGGAAACCAGGGATCTTGCAAAAGATAGTCGCATTTTCATTCAGGAAAACCATCTGAGTCCTCCCTGCCATCTCCACTTCCAGAAAACCTGGGGCAATATGAGAACTGTGTTATGGAAGACCCTTGGAAGAAACATAGGCCTGGGGCTCTAAAACACTGCCATACAATTGGAAACAACTTCCCTTTTTGTGGGGGCGGGGGGAGGGGGTCTTCAGATACAAAGGCCCTTAGTTTATGGCCCCTCATTAATCCACATAAACTCCTTCAACTTTGTTCTTTTTTTTTTTTTCCCAAGATTGTTTTGGCTATGCTGGGTGCCTTGCAATTTCAGAGGAATTTGAGAAACAGTTTATCAATTTCTACAAAGAAGTCAGCTAAGTTTCTAATAGGAATTGAACTGAATCTGTAGATCAATTTGACAAGTATTGCCATCTTAGCAATGTTGCTTCTAATCCACAAATGTGTTTGGCGGATGTGTTATGGACTGTTTGTGTCCCCACCAAATTCATATGTTGTGGCCTAATCCCCAGTGTGATGGTATTTGGAGGAGGGGCCTTTGGGAGATAATTAGGTCATGAGGGTGAGCCCTCATGAATCAGATTAGTGCTCTTATAAGAGACATGAGAGGGAGTTTCCTGGCGGTCAAGTGGTTTAGACTCTGTGCTTCCACTGCAGGGGACATGGGTTTGGTCCCTGATCGGGGAATTAAGATCCCACATGCCATGCAGCCAAAAAATAAATAAATAAAAATAAAAAATAAGAGACATGAGAAATATGAGACATCTCTCCAAACCTGAGGATATAGTAAAAAGTGTTCACCTACAAGCCAGGAAGGGGTCCCTCACCAGGAACCAAATCAGTCAGCACCTTGATCATGGACTTCCCAGCTTCCAGAACTGTGGGAAATAAACTTGTTGTTGTTGTTGTTTTGGCAGCATGCATGCGGGATCTTAGTTCCCCAATCAGGGATCGAACCCGTGCCCCCTGCAGTGGAAGCGTGGAGTCTCAACCACTGGACCACCAGGGAAGTCCCAGAGTAAATTTCTTATTTCACGCCTCTCCGTTCCAGCAACTGGCATGATGAAAGAGAGGCAGAGGTTTACAGAACATCAGAGCGTGTGCTCACAGACTCCTACAGGTGCCGACTCTGCACATAGTAGGCGTCAGTATACAACTGTTGAATCAGTAAATGAATCCGCATTTCACAATACAGAGTTCAGGGTTGGTTGGGGCTTTTTAAGATATTTAGCCCCAGCCGGACTCGGACCTCACTGCGTAGTGAAAGCCACCCCTCCTCCCTCCCTGCCTCCTTCCTTCTCTCCCTCCTGCCCTACCTGCGGTGAGCAGCGTGAGCCCCAGGATCAGCACCAGAACCGGGAACACAGCACGGAGCCCCACCCCGTTGGGCCGCCCGCCCTCTGCGCCGTGGCCACAGCTTCCCGGAACTTGCATCCTCAAACTTTCTCTTAGTTGCTTTCTTCCTCTTAGGAGTGGGCAGGTCCTAAGGAGTGAGTGACGGGACATCTCTTGCGGGGTGAGTGGAACTTTACGCAGAATTAGTTAATGGCGCATTTGCACCTTCTGCAACTCTGCGAGAAGTCGTTTTGGTTGCTCCATTCACAGAGACGGAAAGTTACTGACAGCGCCTTGCTCAGTCACACTTCTACCGGCTGCGCGCGCGCGCCGAGAGTGGGAGCGGCTAGCAGTGGGCAGGAAGTTCCTGCCTCCGAGCGCGCCGGCCGGCATGGGCACAGGGTTCGCGTCAGCCTCTACGTTCGCTTTATAAGCTGAGGCCAGGGTCCGATCGCCTGGGCGCTGCTCTAAGGAAGATCCACTATGCAGGAGCGCATTGGGGGCAATTGTTCTTACCATCAGCATGATAAACTAACATTACTTTTTTTTTTTTTTTTACGGTTCTGAAAAGTCATTCTTTATTTTGATACTGAGAAATGGATTATTTCCTAACGTATCAGTAAACAGGCTGTCACAGTCACCGGGGATTGTAGCCACCACCAGAAGGTAAGCTGGTGAGCCCTGAGGCAACTCAGGAAGGAAAGAATACTTGCCATCTAGCAGCCATCAGACCGCAGCCACTCCCTACAAAAACACAGGACACTGGCCCCAGATAGTTGAGGTACATATCAAAGGAATGATTTCAGTGAGCCCAGACTCTTGCATCTTCCCATACGTAGAAATGGGCTTAATTCCTTAACTTGGGGTATCTGGTTTTCTTTAATTACAATAATCTTTTGATGTTCCCGACTACCTGCCCTTTGTTGCAAAACCCGCCCCCTCGCCTCCTTGGAGCAGTTTTCTCAGGGTTACTTGAGATGCTGCCTCCTGGGCTTGAAGTCCTAAAAATTCCCACCGAATAAAACATAACTCAGAGAGTGGCATTGACTTACATATACTACCAAATGTAAAATAGATAGCTAGTAGGAAGCAGCCGCATAGCACAGGGAGATCAGCTGGGTGCTCTGTGACCACCTAGAGGGGTGGGATAGGGAGGGTGGGAGGGAGACGCAAGAGGGAGGAGATATGGAGATATATGTATATCTGATTCACTTTGTGATACAGAAGAAACTAACACACCATTGTAAAGCAATTATACTCCAATAAAGATGTTAAAAAAAAACCATAACTTTTAGGATGCGCGTATTTTTTCAGCCGACATACAAAAAATAAACCCTTCAATCTGTAAAGAATGTCACGTGTTTTCATATTGTTGTAAAGCAGACTTATAGAATAGGAACATCTGCTACCAGCTCCAACTTACATTTCTTTAAAAAAAAATCTTATATTACTGAAACCTAAAGCTAAATTTATATTTCCAGGATGCTTCAGTCAAATGTCTGAGAACAGCCCATTTCCCCTTACTAACCAAAACGTGGCTTGTGACCTCTCCAAGCAAAACAAAATGCTCAGTGATCAAGTTTTACAATCTCCAGACCACCTTTAAAATCAATTTAACTGCCAAGTTCAGAACACAAGTGGCATTTGCTGTTGTTATAAACGCACATATCTCTTTCTCCAGCATCTTGCATTCCAGTAGTCTCATTGATCCTATTTAATTATTTTTCTCACATCTTTAAAAAGAGTGTAACCTACAGAAACTCACAGGCAGAACTGGACTCAAATGCCAGCTACACCAGCTGCTCTTTGCAGGACAAAAGGCAAGTTACCTCACCCCCTCTACCCCCGACAGCCTCGATTTCCACTTCTCTAAAATTCAGGTCGTAAAATCTTCCCTGCAGGACTGTTGTAAGAATTACAGTATCCTGTGGGCTGTGGATCAAATCCCAATAAAGAGTAGTCTTATTGGCACAGTGAATTTTGAGTTAGTGGTACTGTCAGTAACTAAACAAATATTTACATTCTCCCTTATCTGCAGAATAAGCTCACTGTGGCCATATGACCAAGTTCTGACCCAATTAATATAAATGGAAGTGTTTTGTGTGCTTTCTGGGAAATGTCTTTAAAGGGAGGGATATGCTCTTTACCCTTTCCTCCATCTGCTGGCAGGAATGCAGATGTAATAGCTAGAGCATCAGCAAACATCTTGGACCATAGTGTAAAAGTCACACATTGGAGACAATGGAACAGCAAAATAGAGGGGTGCTGGGTCCCTGATGATTTGGGAAACTTCCCTACCAGCCCTAGAATGACACCTCTGAGCTTGCAGAACATAAGAAACAAAGTCAATAAGCCATTCTTATTTGAGGTGTTCTTATTTTCAGCAAAACTTAATCCTAATCACTACAAATGGTAAAAGAAATGGAGCTACTTTTGCTTGGAGTAGACTGGGGCTTTAAGACTTATTATCAGTTTTTAAATCTCTGAAAAGCTAACACATAAGTATATGCGTAGACATGTTGCATGTTTTTGAAGGCAGAAGGAAGGTTCCTATGTAGAATTTATGGAGAGACAGATTTGAACTCAGCCTAAGTGTCTCTAATAAAGGAATCGCCTTTTTTTTTTTTTTTTTTTTTTTTTTTTGCCATACGCGGGCCTCTTACTGCTGTGGCCTCTCCCGTTGCGGAGCGCAGGCTCCGAACGCGCAGGCTCAGCGGCCATGGCTCACAGGCCCAGCCGCTCCGCGGCATGTGGGATCTTCCTGGACCGGGGCACGAACCCGTGTCCCCTGCATCGGCAGGCAGACTCTCAACCACTGCGCCACCAGGGAAGCCCAGGAATGGCCATTTTAAGTCATCCCACAGGCAACCATTCACTGAACTCTGCCAGGTACGGTCTGAATATAATGGATTCAGGTGAATAAAGCACAGTCCTTAGCTTCACAAAGCTCATCTAGACCAGTGCTGCTCAAAGTAGCTGTGACAAAGGACCTTTTTAAAGAAAATATCCAACTCTTTGGGGACTGATATTTTATAAAATACAACAAAAATGAATTCTTAGAAAAAGGAAATCAAGACATAAAAATATAAGCTCCCATTTTTATTATAAAACAGACATAAAATTATTTTCAAAGGCATAACTAATTTCAGTTTCTATGTTGACCCCTCATTGTTGGGTGACACTGGTGTATAGACCAGTACCAGTCACAGAACATACTTTGAGAAACACTGATCTAGACAAATGCAAGTTGAGGGCCATTCAATAACTGGCCTGTACTTTTCAAAAATATCAGTGTCATGAAAGACAAAGAAAGGCTGAAGAGCTATTTCAGCTTAAGGGAAATAAAAGAGACACGACAAGTAAATGCAAAGCTTGATTCTGGATTAAATCCTAGATGACAAAAAAAAGAAATTACTATGAAGGACAGTATTCAGACAACTGGTGAAATCTGAATATGGACCAGATGTTATAATAGATCAATAGTATTAGAATGTCAACTGAAAAAAAACATATAACCTAAGAGTTGAGAATTATGTGGGTTTTTTTTTTTGCGGTACGCGGGCCTCTCACTGCTGTGGCCTCTCCCGTTGTGGAGCACAGGCTCCGGACACGCAGGCCCAGCAGCCATGGTTCACAGGCCTAGCCGCTCCGCGGCATGTGGGATCTTCCCGGACCGGGGCACGAACCCATGTCCCCTGCATCGGCAGGCGGACTCTCAACCACTGCACCACCAGGGAAGCCCAAGAGGATAATTTTTATAAGACAGTTATTATAAAAGAATGTCCTTGTTCTTAGGAGATGCTCACTCACATATTTACAGTAAGGGATCACAATGTTTGAAACTTCAGTAAAAAAAAAACCTTTTTTACTGAAATGCTTCAGTAAAAAAACTGAATTATACAGAGAGGAAGCTTGAAGGCAAATGTGGCAAGCTGCTAAGAACTGATATATCTAGGGGAAGGGCATACTAGAATTACCTGTACAATTGTTGCAACCTTTTTGGATAGGCTTGATAATTTTTTGTCAGAGTTAAACACACACATGTACACACAACTAAATGCAATGTGAGATCCTGGATTTGTTCTTAGCCTAGAAAAGTGTATTAGTGGGATAATTGGCAAAATTTGCAGATTAGTTAGTAAAATTGTATTAATGTTGATTTCCTGATTTTAATAACTTTGTAAGATGTTATCACTTGGGGAAGCTAGATGAAGGGCTTATGGGAATTCTTTGTACTATTTTTGCATGCTTTTTGCAAATCTGAAATGCTTTCAAATGGAAAAGTTAGGAAATTTTAGTTAGTAAAGTTAGTAAAAGCTCACAGTCTAGAACTTTTAGAGTTTTTTCTCCAGACACTAGGAGGAAAAAAAAATCATATAGTTGGAGAATGACAGAGCCAGGGTCCTAACACCCAGCCCCCAGTACTTTCCACTATCCCATTATCATGGATTCTTTGTCACTGTGATATCTTGCTATTAAAAGGTTCTTGAATTTAAGTGGAAATGTTTCCTACACATTACAAACACTGGTGTGTGCGTGCATGTAACTGAAGTGACATTTAAATGCTTACAGAGCCTTCATAACATCAGTCAGGTTTCCTCCCCAGCGTAGATTCTCTAATGTTGATTGGTTTTCCACATGATCTACCAGCAGTTCCCAAACTTGTCTGCACATTAGAATCACCCGAAGATCTTTTAAAAATTTCATAGCCCAGACTGCACTCCAGAAGAATGAAATCACAATCTCTGGAGGTGGGACACAGGAATCAGTATTTTTTGAAGTTCTTAGGTGATTCCAATATTGGAGACAAGCCTGGTAACTACTGTGATTTCCACTTCAGTCCTATCACTGGAAGCAGGGCTGGATAAAAGTCTACTAGGAAATGCTGGAGAAGAGGTCCCTTCCAGGTAAATGATCTCTAAGACCCTGAGGCTCTATGACTCTGCAATGCTAGTGTTTCTTGTTTGTTTGTTTTTAGAAATGATAAATCACTTCATTTGAATTTAACATCTTAAATTATATTATAAGAGTATGGCATTATTTAGGCAGAGTTACATTTTCTAATGTTTCTATGAATATATGAAGCACTTTGAATAGTGGAAATATATTTCCCTGTATAAAAGTTGCCTCATTATGTTTATTCTCAAGTATTTTTGTTAGCGAACTTATTTCACCTCCAAAGTAAACACTCCATAGATAATTTAGTTACGGCTATTGTGCTGTTTGGCATTTTTTTAAACTGAGGTAAAAGAAAAAGGCTCAGCCATGTTACATTTACATACATGCATATAAGCATTTATCATGATAGCCGGAAACACACGCACAAAAGAAATGTTTTTGCTCAATATCTAGTGTAGAAAATAAATATGCTAGTGATACTATTAAAATAACAATGTAGGATATGTACAAATTACAAATTTTAATATTCTAGCCAAAATGTGCAACATTAGTGTTTTTCAAACAATTCATTCTTTCAACATTGTCAAATTTGTCTTTTTCCCC